ATTTATACCAATTCTTATCTGAAGTTATAACAAATATTGTGAAAACCAAACAATTTGCTGCACAAACACACAAAACTTTTAAATAATATGTATAATTATATTTATTACAGACTTTCCAGCCTGACTTTTGTCTGCTAGTTTCCTTTTTTTAAAGCTGCACCACTAGTGCCTGAAGCAACATAACATTTTAAAGTATCAGCTTTCACTTAATGATAGAAACTGAGGGCTCTGAATAGATGTGATACAGTTTAAAAGCCATTATTAAATACTTGCTTTGCCTTGTTCAATAGTTCTCTGCTTTAAATTAAATGAGTGGCATTGTTCCCATTTATGTTTCGAGGATGTTGGAATCTGCACAATTATTGTAGTAACATTTTTATTTAGTTAATTATTGATTTATTTATATTTTGCCAACTTTTTAAAGTTCTGAAATAATAAAAATGCAAAACAGAATTTTTCTATATGAAAGCACTATATGACAGTATACTATCCTCAGACCTTTAATTAAAAGCCTTAATAAAAAGAGATAAAGGAAGGAGAATGAAATAAGTATTTTTTTCAATGGAATGTTTATAGGATGTTGCTCCACAATCTGGATTGTGAACTCCCCTTTCAATTTCTCTGTTTCCAGGCTTACTCAACTCTTTTCAGTTTGAAAAGCAGCTGCTCATTGGTATAGGAAGGATTTTACAGCATTGAACTGAAGGATGAAGAACAGTCTGTCCTCTATCCCAACAGGGATATCTCTGGAGTGCATACCTTGATATGCTACTTAGTGCTGTATCTAGTCTCTGAAACCGAAAAGGTTATATATACTATTGCTACAACAACCTCTTTCTCTCTATTTGCCAGCACTATGTGAAATGTTACACAAATATTAATAGCTTCTTTCATAGTTAAGATACTGGGGAACAGGCATGTTTGGCTTTTTTGGAAACACATATAAAGCTGCTGTAGCCAATGTATACTTGTGCCATGTGGACTGGATGTTTGTGGCCATAACTGGAGGAGGAATACACAGCTGAAGACTAGCAAGAGGAAGTATCTGAGAGACAAATCTATGGAACAAACTGGTCGGTGGAAAAGTCTGCTGCATTTCAAAATGTATTCATTTAAATTAGCTAAATTCTCTCTTGCCTACTTTTTAAACATCCATTTAGAAGACAAGGTTACCAGAGATTTGCTACTATAATTAGTTAGGTAACAAGAGAACTTCAAAGCTAAATTTTCAAAAAAATTGAAAACATTAGAAGGAGTGAACAACACTGAATTAATTTTCTCTAATACTTAGAAAGCCAGTCTAGATATTGGGAAAACTGGTTTCCAATTTTTGTTTTGTGGCTAAGCACTTCCCTCGAGGTTGTATTTTTCTCCTGCAAGAACGACATAGCTTTTTTAAAAAAAACCTTTAGTCAACAACAAAAAGTAGTCCTAACTACATAAAAAAGCTAATCTGAGTTGTTATTGGTTTTGTACCATGCACTCCTGTTAACAAGAAATTTGAGAGCAAATAATACATTCTCTCCATACATTGTGCTGTGTTCCTGATATTATACAACATTTCAGGGAAATTTTACAAAATTCTCTTTGGTAGAAAGAATATTGAAGACCCTCAAAATACTTTATAATGTCTATTAATTTATAAAAGTTCAAAAGAAGGAGGTATATAGGCAGGAGATACTAGCTCAAAGTAGCAATGTTCTCCCAACTCCCCAATGATACAGTTCCCTCAAATTAATAAGCAGGGTGTGTCCATTAGAAACCACAACCAGTTTCCCTAATAATGTCCTACTTTGCCTACCCCAGAACTGCCTCTAATAAAATTTAACGTGCTTAAATTGGTCCTTTTATGGCACTTTTATTTATAAGGCATCCTAATCTTTTATCCATCTAGACTCACTTTCACTTATTTAGTATAATAGAAGAATTTGTCTGCAATGCTCTGTTTTAGGAAGTCTATAGTAAATAAATTATAGTAAATCATAGTTGGCACAAATAGAAAATATAATAATTAAATCAAATTAATTACAGTTATAATACAGCAAAGTGAGTAATATTAATTAATCTCAGGTTTGACATTTAGCACAAAATCAATCCCAAATTTGAATTCAAAAGAACTGCTGCTGTAAAAATATTTTAATTTCTTAGGGGCAGTTCACAATCTGTAAAATAAACACAAGATTGTTATCCAGGTTAAAGGAATATATTTGGATCAATTCTAGGGAATGCTATATAAACTTATTTCCTTATTAAAATATTTTATGAAGTTCTGCCCTGTGCCAAATATGCATTGGCAAAAACTAGCATTATTTACAGATGGCTTTAAGGTCATGACAAATTTGATTTTATCTAAAGACATATTTCATAAGTCTGGATATTTAATTTACAACATTTTTAAGGGTTCAGATGCAATGGCATGTAGAAAAACCAAAAGGAAAAAACTAATTTAAAAATTAAAGCATTCTAGAGAAGAAATTTAGAGAAAGAATTACTCATAACCTCTTGAAACACTGCTGTTCAAAATGGATATATCAGTTGCTTGAGAGCAGCTGAAATACCTTGGACCTGGTTGAATTTCTTGGGAGTTTTCTGATACTGTGAAGAACAGACTGCTAAATTATATTTGACTGACCCACCAAAGCTTTCATTCACTAACTGTATATTTAACTTCAGGACCTAAAAAAATCAGAATCTAGAATGATTTTATTAAAAAAAACATAATTGCAAGTTTGCATATTTTCTAGATTTTGAACTGGAAATCATATTTAAATAGGATCAATGCTCAATTATTGTGATGATAGATCTAACTGAGAGTTCCATGTCAGATCTCTGTTCATGTACTGAAATAATTACACAATCATTGAGACATATCATTTGCAACAGCATTGTTGCTGTTGTTATAATATACTCAGTGCTTTGTAATGATGCTTACGCAAGTGGCCTCACTCTCTTTGTCCAGGCTCAGAAGCTAAGATGAATCATATCTACCACTTACTTACTAATACTTGTTAGCACTGTATAAAAGACCTCCATGGTGAATCAGGGATGTAGGCTAGATTGGGAGGTCAAAAAACATCTCAGAGGAAGACAATGGTAAACCTCTTATGTACAGATGCCAGGAAAATTGCAGGGAGGTATCTATGAAATTCACTGGGATTTAGGTTTAGCTCAGAGGAAACTTTTTGTAACACCATGTTATATATTAATGTGTCAGCTTTAATTAATTAAAATACATGCATACATACATACGTACATACATACATAAATACTGATTGCATTATCCCTTTCCTTATGGAAAGGGGGCAAAAAAATAATAAGTCCCAAAATGTAAAGCTATAAGATAGAAAAAGAAAACATAATTAATCCAATTTATACCAACAAAACATTCAAAATATCTCTCTCCATGCCTTCTATTCTTGCAAATCATTTTTACTCTGATCATGTCCACACCCTCTTTCATCATGTGCCTTTGATAGTTTTATTATATTTATATGCCATCTGAATCCCAGTGATTCTAGGCTGTTTATAAAATGTTGAATTGTTAAAACAAAAAAGCAACACAAAATAAAAAGATGAAAGATGGCAAAATGACAAAACCAAAATGAAGCAAAGAAAGCAATCTAAAGGGGCTCCACTCTCACCAAAAGGCTGGGCAAGAGGCCAGGTCTTCAGGACTCTTTCAAACACAAGAGGGGCGGGGGTCATTTGAATTTGGGGAGAATTTCATTCCAGGTGGCGGGCATTGCTGGAGAAGGTGGGTTTCTGGGAGCCAGAGAGATGCCATTGTTTAATCAAGGGAACATAGAGCACATAACTCTGCAGTATCAAACTGGTCAGGCAAATACTGTGGGAGACAATAGTCCCTCAAGTAACTTTATGGGGAACAGCCAGTACCTTGAATTGCACCCAGAAGCAAAACGTCAACCAGTGCAGCTTGTGTAGTAGAAGTGTTACATGGGCATTCTGAGGCATGCCCACCACTGCTTATGCCAACTGAAGCATTTGGATGGCCTTCAAGGGCAGTCCAGATACAGCACCTTGCAGTAGTCAAATCATGAGATGATTACCTATCTTTCTTTTTGAAGATATCAAACCACCTTCATTCAGATCTAGTGTCTTCCTCTCATTCTCACAGAGATGTAACACACACACACATGAACATCCAGCTCATCCTTGGACAGTATAAAGAGCAGGCAACTCATTTGCTCACTGTTCACCTTTTCATTTCTCAATGAGGGCAGGGCAGGGATGACAATTATGCTAAATGAATGAGCCTCTACTTTTGTCCCACCTTACAGGAAGGAAGGCAGCAAATCCTTTGAATACACTCAACCTTCCTGCTGTTGCAGGCAGGGCCAGGTGATGCTTGCCCCCCACCTCTGGCTGGCCACTAACCGTAGAGTGCTCTTGCAGGCTCCCCTTTCTGACAGTTCAGCAAAGGGTAGAGACAGAAGGAAGGAGAATGGGGCCTGCTCCCTTATCCTCATTAGCTCTGACAAGTGGACCCAGGAAGAAAGGTGCTACCTCTTTACTTGCCCTCTCCTCTCTCTTCCTTTGGGGGCTGTGAGGAAAGCACAGATGAATGAGAAAATTCAGGGGCTGCTCCTTTAGTGCCCTCCCAGAGAAAGCCTGTGAGTAGGCACAAACAGCAAAGCAGGCTAGGGTCCCCCTCTGCCCTGGGGCCAAGAAAGGAAAGCAAGTGGGAGTCATTGACTCAGCTCCTGCCTTCTCTTGGCCTGCCTTGGAGTAAAGAAAGAGGGGACTTCAGGATGAGATGGTAGCAAATCCTCCTTTTTTTCTTTTTGCAACTCCATCAGGGAATGAGATAAGAGATGGCCAGCTGCAACTTCCCTCTGGCTGCTTTTCCTTAGCCCAATTCATCGTTTTCCCTTCGAAGTAAAAGTGGTCAAGCGAAATCCCCTAAGCCGGGGCAGAGAGAGACCCCCCCCCCCACAGGTTGGGTATCTCTTCCGGGCTCTTGTTTTCGACGGGGACTGAAAGACGGCGCTGTGCCTTTAAGAGCGCCCGTGGCAAGGTTGTTACTACTACTGGAGGCTGGGAAGGTGTTGCCGTCGGGGAGAGGCGCTTGCGTCCTTGTGCCCGTTCGGGCGAAACGGGGGCAGCGCAGGGCCGCGTTCCCGATCGCAAATCAGGAAGAGCCGGGCGAGGAGGCGCGGGATCTGGGATCCTCTCCTCTTTGTGGCTCCGAGAAGCAACATGGCGTTTCCCCGGAGCGCTCGGGCTCCTTCTCTGAGCAGGGTGGGCGACTGTTCTCCTCCCAACGGAGTGGCGCCCTAAAGAAAAAAGAAAAAGAAAGAAAAAAAAAAAAAAGCGAAGCCGTTCCAGAGATGTGAATGCGAGCTCCGGGCGAGAAAGCGGCTTCCAAAGCTCCGCTCTTCCGTCGAGCCCAGCAAGTGGATTTTGCTCGGGGAATCCGGATCTGGACCACCTGTTACTCCGAGCGCAGCCCGAGCCTCTTGCAGCCAGCGAAGCTCTTTCTCCCGAAACGGGGCCGCTCCCCTTGGCAGTTCGCTCTCGGAGAAAATGGAGCGCGACGGACTTTCCAGCGCGGATCAGAAGCTGATCCGGGAGAGCTGGCAGAAAGTGGGCACCAGCCCCCTGGAGCACGGCACCGTCCTGTTCACCAGGTAGGGCAAGCTAGGTCGCCAGGCCGGAGAGCGCACGTGAATGCTCTTGAACGCCCCCAAGCGAGAGGGGAGGGATCGTGGTCGCTGGGAGAGAAGCGTCAGGTTTGAGACTGGGCATTTTAAACATCGGAAGTGATCCCTCATCCTCAGCAAACTTAATTCAAAGCTCCCTCCGCCAGAAACGTACCCTCGTGGATTGCCCAGCCGCTGCTTTGGGATTAATCCTACTCGTGCCTTGCTTAGCCTACCCTTCCCATTTCCCTTCTCTAATGTAACCCCTCCCTCCTCCGCCTCTTAATGCCTTTCCAAGGCATCTGTTCCCTGTTCGGTGCCCTCCAGATGTGCTGGATTACAGCTCCTATCACCATCGCTTGCTCGAATAAATTGCTGTGCTGCATAGGTGGGCTGGAGAGGGTAAGAATTGAAAGGTGGTGTTCTGAATAAAGGCTGTTTTAGAGCACCACATGGGTGGGGGGGGCTTTGATTGCTGGACACCAGGTTAGACACCAGGCTGCTCTTCTCATCTCTTAGCTAGCTGGGAACAGGCTCCCTTTTCTGCTTTCCCCATTTCGATTCTTGAGTGTCTAATGCCCTCATTCGAATAACTCTCTATTGCTCTATGTGGGAAGCTTGGAAAAACAAAAAAAGTCTGGAAAAAACAGAAACTGCTATTCCCATCTTCCATGCATTTGTGCGTTTGCTCCACCTTTTGATTTTAGAGCAGGATGCACAGTGGAGAACTCTGCCTGGTTAAATTCATATAAATGACAGTGAATCTTCAAGAGTATGGGATAAGAGAAAGAAGGTAGCTGGTTTAAACAACTTTAAAGCTTTAGGACAGAAAGGATTCCATTTCCGTGCTGTGTTCTTAAACTGAGGCATGTATAAACACAAGATGTAGGGAATCACCAATTTGGACAGGGGAACATTTGTATATTCTGTATATTGAATATTTGTAGCTCAGGGCTGACACGAGGGGTCCTCAGTGTTATCACTGATGATGTTACCTAGTTTGGGTAATGAAACATCTGCAAGAAAACAAGCAAAAACAAGCAAGGTCAGAGAACACTAAGGACCCTTCATTAGATGGGTCTTCGGGCTTATCCAGCAGAGTATTTCTTTTATTTTGCTATGTTGATTGAAGAGATTCTAATACTATAATCCTTGCATCCTTTGTAAAGAATAGTACTTTTGTTTTGGGACTGATTAAGCGTAATAACTAATACCATTTTAATCCTTCCTTTTTCCTTGAGTAATAGCTTTACCAGAGACCTAAAAAGTAATGGAACCCAGATATTTGGAAAAGGGGTTGGTCTCTAACAAGAAGATTCAGAGGTAAATTTACCCTCTGCCATGGAAGCTAATTCTGTGACTTTAAGCCAGTCGCTGTCCAGCCTACCTCACAGGATTGTTGTTGTTGTGGAATAATGGAGGATGGAGTGATAGTTGTACCACTTTTGCTCCTAGAGGAAAGGCAGGAAATAAATTAACAAATGAATTGTGCAAAATATCAGTTTTAGATTTTCTTTTTTGTGGACCAATATAAAGATTTTTTTTTTTAAAAAAAACACCATGGGTTTTGTTTATGAAAACCCATGTGCACCTGTATGTGTGTGTGTGTATACAAAATATTGCAAACTGTCTCTATTGATTATTAAATGGATCATTAGTTGATTATTAAATGGATCATTAGTGGCATAGAGATCCCTGGAATGTTCCTTAAAAAGAATAGAAGCTTCAGAATACAACATTCCCTACCACTGAAAAATGTGAAACTCACACCCACTACAGGGTTATCATGTCCAAAACAGTTCCTTTAATAAGCAGGCAGAAGAGAAAGAACTGCTGAAATGTGAAATCCATGTGAAGGTGAAGAAGCAGTTCTGTAACTGTGGGAACGTTTGCACTGGGGACTAAATTTGAGAAACTTGATATATTCACGGGGCATTGCACAATGTCAAATCCTAAGGATTTTTTAAAAAAAATTAGCATATAAAATGCAACATACTAATGAACAAGCCAGGAAGTCTTTTTGTAAATCATTCTTCTTCCTGAAATTCTTATTGCATTTTGCAATGCTGGGAGGGGCACTGTTGCCAGAACAGATAACTATCTATAGTCAAAATAACCACCTCAATCACAAGAAATAGGATGCTTCTGGACTTTGGAAACCAGTTCTGAAAGCAATTTCCTGGCCTTGCTCATAGAAATGCATTCAAATCCAAAGATTGCAATATATGTTTTTAGATGGCAGTCACATGATTGTCATGTACAGAATTGTTATCAACTATAACACCTTCCATGTTTTTGAATCCTGGGGGGGGGGGCGGAATCTAATGGTGATCGTGGAAACAGCAGCACAACATGTTTTGATAGTATTAGGAATCTTGGAAGTATTAACTGAATCTCATTATTGTAAGAAAAATATATGTGAAGCAAGGATTTAAAATTCTACAATTTATAGGGTTAGGTACTTAATTTTTGGTAGGAAATTTATTTTGGCTGAGTAGGTTCTACAGAAGAACTGGCAATGTCCAGCTTGATTTTAAATAACTATCACTCAATAGCATAATTCACTGTAGTGAACTTTTATTGTCAGTTTTCCTTAGGACATATAAATAGTATGAGACATTAGTTCAGTTTTGTTATTTTATTTATTTATATATTTATTATGAATTTTCTAATCTACTGTGGAAACATTGGAAAAATAAAATATGTATTTATTTAGCTAACTGGTCCTTAAAACCTAAATAGCATAGGATAAAAACAGCAAATAGCCTTAAAGAAACTTTTAATTAATTTTTTGTTTATATTTTTTGTTATATCAAGGAAGTGATTATAATAAATTAACCTCTCAGAGAAAATCAAGTGCCTTTTTAGATCAAAATATTGGATGGAAATGTTTTCATGTTTTGTGTCATAGCTCAATATTATGATCTTTAAATGATATGCTTTTTTTGTTTTTGTGTGACCTGTTTTTAAATCCTTTTGTTTTCTTTGTTTTCACATTTATTTATTATTGCTGTTAGTTTTTTTTTAAAAAAACCAGTAAAATATATCAGGAACTAACCAAAAGAACTGCATCAAAAGGCGATCCATATAAAAAGGAATCAATTATTCCCAAGGCATGGTGTGTGTGTGTGGGGGGGGGGGTTGCTTCAATGTTGTGTTTCTGTATGTGTGTGCATTACCCAAACCAGAATTTGATTTCTTATAATCTAAAAATGGGCAAAATGTGTGCACATTTCCTGTAAATTGTACTGAGAATATATAGATGAATTATGAAGTATATAAAAGAATTAAACTAACTACTTATTAGTGATATAAAAGCTAATGGAAATTATTTAAAATGATAAATTATTTAAAAATGTGATCAATTTAAACTATACTGAGAATATATTGTAAGGCTTGAAATATTCAAAATAATTAAGCTACTCCAATTATTAGTCCTGTAAGAGCTGATGGAGATAGCTATGAAAAGTACAAGTGAATTCTTTCACACCTGAACATCATAAAGCTGTTAAAAAGTTTCTTTTAAAGGGCAGAATTGGAGTTGCATTGATACACATTCTATAGAGAGTACAATATATAGTTGATCTTATAGTTCTTAAAGCTTTAACTAACTAAAAGTGACTAATGCAATGCAGTGATTATGAAATTATATATCTGAGAGATTGAAAACCAATATTTGCATTCCAAGGTAGTTATTTTCTAATTTAAAAAACTCCTTACAAAAAAACCTCAATCTGGAAAATAAATACATTAAACCAATTTCTATTAACTCCTGGCACCTTGATCCCTAAATCAGCTTAGCAGATTGCAACGAGTAAGTTTTTTTCTCTATCATGATTTGTTATGTTTCACATTTCTACCATCTGAATGGTTAGAATTCGGTTTTGTTCATCAGCTCTGTAAGGAAATTCTTTAAAGGGTGAATTTTGTCTGCTTCATAGCCAACATTTTTAATTGTCAATACATCTGGGATAATGGAAATATATTTTTCCACTTAATGTTTCAAATGTGCATCAAACTATGTAATCAGCCCACACATCTTGGAAACCATGGGCAATAACCATGGATATCAGAATATATAGCACATTTACACATGGATTTCATTATTTTTTGATGAAAGCATTTTTCTAGCAGGGCAATTACAATATATAAAATTAAGTGACTGTGGGAAGAATCTAGAGAAAGAAATATTTTGGGGAATATTAAAAAGGCAGAATATATTTCCCCAAAGGAATAATGGAGAAGATATTTTAAAAGGCAGAAACTTCTCCCCCCCCCAAAAGCAGAAACCAGCTTTTAGAAATGCAGATGTAATAATCCATTCAGGAAGATTGAAGCCTTCCAGCTAGAAGCTGAAGAGATTAGGAAGACAAAGACCCTTAAAATCTACATACCCTACCCAAACTCTAAGATAGGATATAATAGGATTAACCCACCAATGCCAAAGGAGCACATTCAGACTCAGCTCAAAGTACATGACACAGGAAATACAAAGCCTCAAACAGGAATAGGAAATAACCTCAAGAATCCCAGAAGGTATAAAAAGCCACCACTCCCTGCTACATGTGGTCAGCTTTTCCCAGAGCCATCTTTCTGTCTGGCTCTCCTCTTCAATAAACTACAACTGTCTTTCTAAAGCAGTCTCTATATTGTTTGTTCCCAGTTTGGACTGGACCCTGATGAAGATTTTTCTTTCAATATGACTTTTTCAGTTTCTGATTTTTGCTAGAAACTTCTCTTGTCTTAAATATTGATAAAAGTATATGTCTTTTTGTATAATTTATGGAAAAGAATGGAAAGACAAAAACATTTTATAATAAGGATACAGAAATCTAGGATTAATATAAATTGATTGAGTCATATAGAAAAGTCATTTTATTGCTCCCAGATGCTCCAGGGTTTAGTTTAAGTTAGGCTTTAGAAGAGGAACTTTTTTAAAAATTTCCCAGAGTTTTCATGGAACATATAAAATATCAAAATGCTCTTGA